ATGTCCAGATGGACGGAGGAGATTAACTGTGGCACAGAGTCATTTTTTGTTTGGACTTTACACTCATATGTTCCTGTTTCATTTATCTTCACATCCTTCAGAATCAGAGACATGTTTCCATCCTTCAGCTGTCTGTCCTGCAGATCCACCCGGTTCCTGAAGGATGGATGCTGGTCTTCTGACTCAATCTGACCACCTCTGTAGTAAAAAACAATATCTGGATCTAGACCAGGTTTGGTCCACTCCAGTACTATCATGTGGATTTTTTCCTTTCTAGCTCCACATGGCAGAGTGACGTCCTGTCCAGCTTCAGCTGTTTTGTTGATTGTCTGTCCTGCAGAGAGGAAACAACACAGAGCAGAGAGGTTAAAGAGCTCAGAGTGGAACTCTGCACCTCCACAGCAGAACCAGAGGAGGACACACCAGAGAACTCATACTCCTAAATCTTTCTTTACTATGGATCCACGTCAGAATTGACAGGAATCTACTAAACTGAATGTTGGCCCTCATCAGGGCACTTAAATATATTCTAGTAAAATGTATTGTAGCATAATTTTGCCTTAAAAAAAAGATTTATGCAGGTACAGTGGGACTGCTTTTAGGGTGAGGGGCCTTTTACTGTTTGGTTGTGGGGGGGATTCATGTTTTTGTTGGTCATTAAAATAACTGATTGTTCATTCAAGAATTAAAACTAAAGTTCAACTCGAAGAAAGCCATTGAAATGTCACGTTCTTTATTGTACTGTTTTACATGGTTTACTCAAGACTTCAATTTTTAAGACAAATTTCCAATTCATTTCCAATAATTTCCATTAAATACCATTATTTCTCAGAAATTCCTAATAATTTCAAATAATATCCCAATAATTCCCACAGAAACTTTTAACTTGGAATATTTCCAAAACAGAAAGTTTCCGAAGTTAACCGGATCGGTCGGTCCCTTTGACCGTCTGCTGTCAGAGCTGCTCCCACATCAACATTTACATTTTATTATTTACATTTTTCTCCAAACGTTAGTCACGTTTTGTGTTCTGTTGTCATCCTTCCAACTCTGATACAGTTTAGTTTCATTTCCGTGTCATGTCGTAAACTCACCCTCAGCAGAGAGAACGGAGTCCACAGCCAGCAAAAGAGTCACAAACAGGAACCTTAAAGCAGACATTCCTGTTCCACTCCGTCCCGATCCACCTGATACAGCCCGATTAGTTCAGACAAACTCTGGGTTAAAGCTGAACTATCCAGAGATCGTCTCAGTTGATGAGCAGAGGAATGGAGGCGAGTCCAACCTGACAAGATGGCGGTGACTGTACAGACACGTGCATTCACCGTCGAGACTTCCTTGATCTGAACATCGCGATATTTCACTGTGACTTGACCGTCTATTTGCGTCTGCCATGTTTAAAACTTCTTTAGAGGCAGTTTTAGTTACTTTAACTATTTTATGTCACAAAGAAAACACAACGGACTCTAATTTAATCTGAATCATTTCTAGTGCCACCACTGAGAGGCACCAGATAAAATCAAATCTCAGTGGAATCCAAACACGCTCTAAGGTGACAGATCATACTAACTTGAGCACACCTCTAAAAACAGGTGAGCTGCTTCCTGTTCGACTGCCTTAACCAGAAATGCTTAACAGCAGCTTCTGCTCAGCCAATCAGCAGCTTCTGTTCAGCCCACTGTTGTTTGTGGGTGTTTGGTTTGTTAGTACACTTCTGCACTTATTGCATGAAGGATTCAGCTGTTCACATGACAGGAAACCCACAAGAACAGAGAGCGGCCCAGAAACCAGGACCAGGAACCAGGACCAAGACCAGGACCAGGACCAGGACCAGGCTCCAGAACTAGGAGGGAAATGTGTGAACATTGAAGACACAAGCTGCAACAAAGAGGGATGGCTCTGAAAATCCGTTTTCCTCTCTGAAATGCCTCATTTACACAACGAGAAACACAAATTGAAATGTGAAAACTGAGCCAGAAACCTAGAAAGAAAGATGGAATTAAATGGGTTTGGGGCAGTTTACCGAGGGTCTTATTTAAGGGGGAAATAAAAAGGAGACAAACCAGAAAAATCTTTGTTTTTTAATTAAATAAATAACAAACTAGTTTATAAAAAGTAATTAATAAGAAAAAAAGAAAAAATACGAAGTCCTTTTGTGAGAATAACACAGAGTTGGCTGATTATTAGTCTCCTCGGGTCCAAAGGACACTAAACTTCGCTTGGAGAAACAAACAGGAAAAACAGCCTGCTTTTTTCCTATTGGTGGAAAATGAGTTCATCAGCCAATCAGAGAAATAGCTGTCAGTGAGGCGTTTGGTTGCTGAGGAACAGAGATGGAGAGAGTTAGTGTTTTTAATCTGGAGTGTTTTATTAGTTATTTTATGAGTTTTAGTGTGACTGTGTGTGTTGGACTGAAATACAAAACTAATAATAAAGAACTTTTTATAGACTGAATTGTTCCAAAGTAAAACCGATGCATTTAATAACATATTATCAGCTTGTTGACACGAAGGCCACGTGGAAGAGCAGAATATTGACAAAACCTGCTGTTCATGCTCTGTTTTCAGGTTTATTTCATGATAAATGTAATGATTATTTCATTTGAGCTGTCGGGCTCTTGAATTCAAATGAATTAACTGGATATGGACTTTAATTTTGAAATTTAAGGCCTCTGTTTTGTAAGTGTGAAGATTACATGAAAGAGTCCTTATTGTGTTGAAATTGGGTTTGAATGCAGCTCGTTCCTCTACTATTAAACACAGACTGTTGAAAATGAGTGAATAAGATGGAAATTACAAAAACAATTTGTTTATTATAAAATAAGAAACTTTATTGATCCCATGAGGGAAATTTAGTTTCAGTAAAGCAGACATGAATATACATGAACCCGCAGCCATTTACAGCTGATTATTTCTGATGATACATCTGGAGAAGAGCTCAGAGGGTTAAAAGGCACACAGTCAGTGATATAAAAACAACAGAATCCCTGCAGAAGCAGGTGTGAGTGTCAGCAGCTGAAGAACAACAGAATCCATTTCCTCTCCAAACCGCTGTCCCACATGATCTCCTGCACTCTGCAAAGCAGGGTGCCAGCAGGGGGAGCAGTTCTGCCAGCAGGGGGCAGCCAGACTCCACCTCTGGAAACAGCCCAGAGCTGCTGAAGTTTAATCTTTGAATGAGGATTTATCGGAGGTCGTGGGCCTGCCTTTTTTGCCTGTTTTGCCTTTTTCGCCTATTTAGCCTTTTTCGCCTTTTTCGCCTATTTTGCCTTTTTCGCTGTTTATTAAAATACGCCAGGACTCAGGAGAGAGGGAAATACCAGCATGCGTCCCATGGTCAGGGCGGACAAACGTGTCTTTTTTGGGCCCGATCGTTCAAACCATGCGAGACCAGCAGCACAGTGTTAGCCCCTCACAGAAGTCGAAGTTTACACCCTTAATTAAATAAGCTTGATTTAGTTCTGGGTGGTGAGGGGATGCAGGACCAGCTGAGCTGCTGGTT